AGAGAGAGGGAGAGAGAAAACATGCCTAGCCCATTGCTTTAGCATGAACTCCTTCACACAACTTGCCACAAAAAACATGGCGGACGCCGCTGTCAAATGTGGCCATCGCGCAGCAAGGCGAGAGAGGGGCATACGGTATCTAGTACTATAGTGTACATCTATGGGTCAGATACACCACACCTCACCTTCGCCACAACAATACTTAAGATCAAAGGACAGTGCAAGACAAAAGTTAAAAGCACAGCAAATTTTGGGTTGTCCACGAGCAATTTTACAAAATGACAAGTTCAAATAGTATTCAAAAAACAAACTTAATTCATATGAGGGATTGAGATGCAAAATCCACTCGGCGACATTACATCTGAAAAAAATTGAGTTTTCTTGTCTACAAACTTATATTGTTATCAGTAATCAGACATACTATATATACTATCAAGGCATTTGATATATATGGATAAGAATCTCATTAGAGATCAAATATGTGGGGTGAAAGAGCTGAATCTTCCAATGCCCTTGAAATTTGGAATTTCTCCCAAAAGAAATGAGTATTATATAATGAGAGAGAGTTTAGGAAATATCTAAAGACATATCCACTAATGATTCAACACGATCCTCTGCCAATAAAGAGTGTGTTTGTGAGTGTGTGTGTGAGTGTGTTGTTAAAAGATTTCACAATGTGCATTTTCTGTCTTTTGATTTGTCAATTAAGTTGAGTGATAATTTTGCATTACAAAGCGCCCAAAGCCTTCTAGGGATTAGGCACTATATAAATGTATATTATTGTTATTATTATCATTATCAAAGTGACAAAGAAAGACTTACCTGTTGCTTTTTCAATTTCTCTCTATCCCTTTTCTCCTTCCTCTTCTGAGCAGCAGTCTTCACTGTAGCTCCTTCCTCCCCTTCTTCCTGGCCATCTTCTTCATCCTCTTCATTATCGTCACCCTGCTTTTTCTCATCTTCACCTTGGGCACTCGGTGCTTCATCGATACCCTTGCCTTTTTTTTTGTTCTTCTTCTTTTTCTTCTTATCATACTCCTCATCATCTTCCTCAAGATCATCAATTGTAACAACTTTTGGAGCTTTTGCTTCAAGATCCACAGCTGCGACCTCACTGGAGGCATCCATAGAAGAGGGTTCTTCCTCACCAGCTCCCTCCTCAGCATTCTTTTTATTCTTTTTCCCTTTTTTCTTTGGTTTATCTGTAGCTTCAAGACTGGCCATTATGGCATCAATGTCTTCCTCCTCCGGCTTTTTCTGCTTTTCTTTCTTTTTATTCTTTTCTTTTTTCTTTGACTTGTTCTGATCAGCTGCATGTTCCTGTTTTATTTCTTTGCCACTTTTGTCCTCCTCCTCCTGCAAATACACGCAACAAATTCATCTCCTGTCAGAAACAACCGACAGTAAAACCTCGGTATAATGTACAGTCAAACCTTCTTGTCCTGCCGCCGCCTCCCCCCCTCCATACCGCCAGCCCAGCTTACCGCCAGCTTTTGCCAATGTACAAAAAGGAACGCTTACAAACATAGTGACTGCTCCTTCTCACCACCCTCCGCCAACTGAGTTGTAAGGTCTTATATAAGTAATATAAATTTGCCCCGCCATAACACGAGCCAACTGACCACCAGAGGTATACATCGCACATGGTAAAAGCACCTACCTGTTGGCTACTTGATAATCTTTCTCCCACAAGAAAGACATAGAGATAGAGAGAAGGAGAAGATTCTCGGCTCTGAATACATGTGCATGTACATGTATATGACCAACAAAAAGACATTTTTCAAACCCTGATATTCATTTTCCTTTGCCGTGGGCAGTCGGAGTTATACAACACAGGAACCCTGTTGAACTGCCAGCCCCGCTGCTCAGCCAACTTCATGCTCGTCCCAAGGGTAGTGGTATAACAAGGTTTGACTGTACTCCCTTTGGACTCAAGAATTTGAACATTTTGGCTGACGTACCCATTGGCCTCAAAATATTACAGCAACAAAGGAGGTTACCCAGTTATGTTAATTCATGTTATTAGATGATTACCAATCCCCCTTACTATTACTGTGTGTGTGTTTGGAGGGGGGGGGGGGGGGGGTGGGCAGCATACATGTATAATTAATGGTTTTTAAAAAAGTGTCCATTTTAACCTTTTAATTCAATTTTTAAATAAATTGTTGCTTTTTTTGGTGTTGTTTGGATGCTTCTCTTGATTTCAAATCAATACATACACACATTAAGAATTTCGGAACAAGGTGGGATAGAGGTTTTCTCTTTGTATTATCCTGTATTTGTATTATCATATATACCATGACACATTACCTCATTGTCTTGATCACTTTCATTGACATCATCATCATCTTCCTCATCTTCCATGGCCAGGAGTTGAAAAGCAGACATGCCTTTTGTTTTCTTTTTGTCCTGTTGATAGAAAAAAGGCACAGGATGTCAAAACCGAAAACTTTCAAAACTCAAAAAAATTCAATACAAATCTTTATGGTAAAGTATCTGAGATTGTAAAAATGTCACATTCTTGACACAAACACATGAGCACGCACACAAACTCACACTTGCACCCAAGCAAATAATAGAACAAAACAAACTTACACACACTTTGAACACAATCAAAAGAGGAGGCATGCACATGTATATAGACAGACTGGCCCACACACAAACATACCGCCGCCTGGATAAAATAGTGTCGTATGTCCCAAAAATCCGATTTCCAGATTTTTATATTACCGTGACCGGGAGAACAAGACTGATCTACATTACAGACGTCTACTATAACACATGAAACCACTATTAACAGAAGGTTTTAGTCGTAAGAAGAATAGTCCTGGGACAAATACTGTCACAACTCGAGATACCACACTAGCACATTTAGGTTTGTGAAAAATCAGGAAAGACTACTGTCGTAAGTCGACATACAACATTAGTCTTGCAGAAATCTGATCATTTGGCCTTGCAAACACGGAGTAAGTCAACTTACTACTGTATTCTTTGAAGATTAATCAAAAGTTTCTGTCCTGTTGGCCTTAAAAGCTGGACCACACGACTTGTCATAAACACCATTGCAAATTTGTGTTATACCAATGTTTGTTTTAGTAGGAGTTTTACAGCGCTTGCAATTGCCTAAGGTCATATGAGTGCGCAAAACAAGTTGGTTCCATTCGCAACAGTTTACTGCATATTTTTTCAACATTATTATTTTTAAATCACACATATAATACAGACAGCACTGATCCAAACATTTTGATTCATAATATTTGCAGATCGGCCATTTAGACACTGAAAGATTGCTGACACCCTTGGCTTATACTGTATTCACCAAAAAGTTACTTTCCTTATATTATGTTTATAAAAATGTGGCTCCATTTGTCTACAAGGTTGGGACCATCACGGACAGCACATATCCATTGTTGCTCCCCACTTATCCCCACGATCCACCTCAAAGTCCATCTGTTTTTAATTCATAGTTCAAATTAGAATCTAGTAAGAGATCCAATGAGCAGGACCACATTGGTTGTTGAATCTTTCTGTTCCACTCTGGCTCTCTTTCTCCTTCACACTCTCAAGTGTGTGGGAATTGCATTCCAATTCCTTAGTTGTCAGCTGCTCCTGGGCTGTGGCCAGGACACTATAAGGATTGCGTGTCAGTTAACCCTAGTTACCAAAGTTACAAAACAGTATGAGGATATGTGGCTATTATCTTTATCTGGCTTGGGTACAGGAGTCGGGTGAAGACAAGCCAATAAGCAGGTATCATGCCGCTCCACAAGCTATTATTGAAGGTATCTGAAAGTGCTCTCTTCCAACTTTTTTCTGAGTGCATAGCATCCTTCATCAGGGCCAGGCAATGTGTTGGCTGCTTTTCAGACATCTTTATCCAATGTTCTATATGTCATGTCTTGGGCATAGGGATCTTCCTTGTAACACTTGGACATTGCACAGTAGTTTCCTTCGCTCATGATCATTTTACTGGAGATATCTTTGAAACAGCCTGGTCTTTACCCTTTTTAACATAGTTCCGACTTTTTAAGTTGTCGAAAGGAAGTAGAACTTGTAAACAAACTTGACCTAAATCTCTGAGGGCCAATATCGATCAAAACTCCACGAAATTCTAGCAAAAATTGTTGTTTTGTTGTCGCGATGTAGACTTGATCTAAGGGTAAACAATACGGAGCCTGGGATAATAAAAAGGCTCTTCAAAGAAAGATATTCAACTAAATTTGTGAAACTCTTGCATAAATGTGTGCTCGGGTGATCTCGTTACAATGTTGTGTTGATTCCTATGGATTATAAGGACTTGTAGAGCTGAGAAAATGTGGTAAGTCGAAATTTTCGAACAGCTGTTGCGCAATTTTTTTTTCTCATTCGTTTTTTGTCTGAAGGAAAATGCAATACAAACAGATTATAGGTCATTGTTATTTATATAAACAGATTCCTCTATTTATTCCCATCAGTTTCGTATATGACAATACCTATTAGAGAGGCTTAGAGCTTCACAGTAATGCATTAAATAGATGCACCCCAGGTTTAAAACTGAACAGGGAAAAATAATTCTGTCCAGAGCCTGAAAAAAAAATGGACGGAATCAGTTACGGGCTAAAGGTGATGAAAAATTGAAGAGATATCGGTCAGGGAATGGCAATTTGTACAAGCTATTCATGATTTTCAGTTTTCTATGTTCGTGTTTTCCGTGCCCAACTACATTCATTTTTTCGGGGTGAAATATGATTTTTTAAAAATAACATGGATTTATTGTTGCTTTTTTGCAGTTCGTTAGATGCGCCTAGTCGTGCTGATTAAGAAAATATATACTTTTGTACACTTTTGACCTAAAACATTAATGTTATGTCACTTTTAAGTCAAAATCTGTTCCGGATTTCGTCAATGCCGGCCATATTTGGTCACATGACTTTGCATATTACATAACACATTGTTCATCATGTAGGCCATTACATAACCTTTCTGGAAATGTATGATTGTCATATGTTTTGCAGGCAACGTTTTCTTTGAATAAAGGAAAACTGTTACTAAGTTGTCTTTCTCATTCCTCATTTTGGCACATTTTGGTGCCATCCTCTTGTTATACAAGTAAGTAATTAAAGATCCCCGAAAAATGCTCAAATTCACAACAACAAAATTGCATAACTTTTGAACCATTTATCCAATCTTCATGCAGTTTTTAAAATTTTCCTCAGCTCTTTTAGTTCTACCTAGTGACATGTATCTTGTTCTAATTAATGATTTTTAAATTTTTTCATGAAACCCCCTAGTTATATAGTAAATTACATACCTCCCCAGCCCCCCCCCCCCTTTCCTCCAAAAACACAACTGCTTGAGTTTTCAAACATAAAATGTATGAGAAATCTTTCTCCAATTTCGGACAGAAGTCACAAAACAAATAAAAAACATTATGAATATGAGTTAGAAAAACATTGACAAGCTTTTACCTATTTCACAAGCCTTTACCTTTTTCTTGCTCAAGATTGGTTGCGGGTTATCATCCTCGTCTTCCTCATCACCGTTAGCTTGAAGCGATAATGCTTTGATTTCGTCCTCAATATCCCTAAACAACAGAGCAATAACTAATGACCAAGTGTAAAGAAAACAAAAATTTGAAAAAGCTAGGTAAGTTGACAAGTGACTAGTCGGCACAAAAATGTATTTACATGTGGTTGTCTTTTATTTTTGGTCCTTTTAAAAAACCTCTCTGTATGACCTCGCCTTGTCAGTTATACTGGATATTGCTAAAACAAAACTTTAACTCATTCGCTACGCCGAGCCGTGGGGGGCGGCGCGGCTAGAGTGCCGTCAGTACACTTAGCCGCCCCCGGCGGCTCGAGAACCGACGTTCAATTTTAGCTTGGTTTCTATTCCAATCCACATATCCATGTTAAAATAAAGGTCATGATATAAAGTTGACTTCCGGGTCAAGCGTTTCCACCGAAAATCGGAAGTTTTGATTCAGTTTTGAAACACAATTTCGAAGTTTATGCGACATTGCTTTATCGTGAAGCCCAAATTATAGCCAGACACCAGTCTTTGTACTTTTACACAACAAAATGTATCATTATTTTGCTCACTAAAGAAGTGTAGGAATCTTCTTATAATATTGATACTACTGGACTCAAATTGCCAGTGCACTGTAATTGAGAAATCAATATTTTTGAGTGCTAGATCTAGGCCTAGATCTAAATAGTAAAAATATTTTTTTTCTCCCCAAAATCAATACTTTTTGGTGAATTTACTCAAAAAGTACCAGCCAAGACATGTATAGGTTTATTCCAAATGCAATTCTGAATAATTCCATATAAGATACGAGTGTTTTTTTCTGTTTGGGATCCTCTTTTCAAAATTATTTCAATTTTTTTTTCTTTCAATATCTGAGGTTATGATCCAAATGTACAAATATTATGGAATGTATGTAAATAACTGCTCATTTTTCAATATTTTCCTGTTCTATATACAGTTACGGTTATTTTGATGTATAATTTGACTAGGTGCAAACATATTTTTTGAGTTTCAACTGAGATTATAAGTTTTTTGTTTTCAAATTTTATCCGCAGCCAATCACAATTGTGTTGCATAATCGCCTCTTACAGGAACCAAAGTTGAAAAATACTCAAATAAACAATACAGATGTATTCTACAAACCATACTGAAAATGTTGGTATATAATATGTTGATATTTATTTGAATTTATGGCCCCCAAGACCTGTGAACTGCGCACTAGTCATCATCTCATTTCGCCCTCCCGAAAAAAATTCGTCCACAAGCCGAAAATAATACGTAGCGAATGAGTTAAAAACTTCCTTAAACTTAAAAAGCAGGACAATCTATGTAGTTTTCAAAGATCAAGCCTTGCACAGAACACGGCATCACTTTTCACAGGATTCTTTTACTTTTAGTTAGCGTGACTCAGCTGCCCGCCGGAGCTCCCCGGCTAATGAGCCCTGAAGCTACTTTGCCGATGTTGGTTAAGAAGTAAGCATTTTTGTCTACGTTTCAAATTACAAGGATGGGGACTAATCCCCCCAAATTTTTCTGAAGATTTTGCGACAGCAGCAGGGGTCAGGGGGCCCAGCCCCCCTAAAGCCGGGAAGAAATTTACGTTGTAAACGTAGTCTCAGAGAGTGCTTTGAATATTTAAAAAAAGAATTACAATAAGGTGTTATTTCACAAGGTAACAAACATAATTGATAAAATTGAAAAATACAGAAGCCTACATTCATCTAAATACTTACATTACAATAATTGCTTCTTCAGGTCAGATCAATGTTATTGTTTGATGGTCAAGCAGTAATTCTTTTCCCTGCAATTTCATGTTCTCATGTTCAAGTAGGAGGAGAAATGGTAGCATGTAACTCTTTCAAGTGATTTGCAGCAATAGTTTGTCCACACCCACTTTCGCACAGCAAGAAATTGTTCAAATCCACAATGCAACAGTACAATCGTCGGCAATTTTTTCTTTTTTTTTAAATTCGGAATTCCGAAAATTTTCAGAGAATCCCTATCCCTGAAATTACATAACTTCTTCCCCATCCCACACAGCAAACCTTTACACTGCACGGCGCGCCAGCAGTGGAATTTTAGTTGCAGCGGGGGGTTCCCCGCCGAGCGTCTTATCATGTCGGGGTCACGGGGGTCATCTCCCTGTCGTCGCTCTGTCTGGGCTCACTTAATTTTTGGTACTTTTCTGCACATGTAATATTAGGAAGCTTTAATTTTGCAACTTTATCCATCTGGTACACAATTCGCTAAGAAGTAATTCCTCCAAATACAACTTTATGCGTCTAATATAATCGTGAATATTCGCATATTTTCTATAAAGTTTCTCAAAAGTACCTGAAGTCTCTCTATGAGAAAGTAAAAAAAATGATTTTAGTGCCAGAATACATCTACAATGAAATACACCAACAGTATCTGTCACACTCCATAAATTCCTTATTTTTCTTAAAACGTTAAGTCTAGGTTTTTGTAAATTGACTGAATAACAGGGATGACTTTTTGTAATTGTGTTATAACAATCATTTTTAGCTTTCCAGAGATACTGAGTCAGCACCAGACTTTTCCAACTTTTATTTTCGTTGCTATGACCATTTGTCATGACACCTGGAGGGCTAGTAATTGAAAAGAGCACCTCGAAAAACAAAAACAAAGGGTAAATATGATAGAAAAACGCATCTCACTAAACCATCCGTTAACACCTGCATCATTACATGTGAGGATCCATAATTTTCAAAAACTACAAAATGCAATTATAATTCATTCTCTCTGAAAAGAAGAGGTAAAATCTTAAAACTCCACCAAGCAACTTTACTGAGGTCCTAGCCCTGGTCATCCAAACCAGTACAAAGCAACTGCAGGAACTGCAACCCAGTACAGTGGAACTCGGATTCAACGAGGTCGCCGGGCCCGACCTAAAATCTCGTTGAATCCGAGTGTTCGTTATAGCAAACACGAGGTTTTGTGTAGATAATTACAGGCACTGAGCAAGTAATGTAAGAGAAGTCACAAGTAGTGCCTGAAATGCCTGTATATTATGAGCTGAGTAAAAAAAAGACCGATTCGTTCAAATACACACGACTGTGTCATCTCGATCGTTTACCAAAAAGTTGTGTTGCTGTGTAGAGCCTAGCATACGGCAACTTTTGATTCCATAGACCAGCGCACAATTCAGTACGTAGATCTACGCCAAGACTAGCTTATAATTGTAATAATGATCAGTTGTCGAGGGGAAAAAAAGACCGTGACGCATGCGACGTTCAACGCCCGGACCGCTAGTGCCCCCTTCCCCCTCCCTGACACACACACACACAGCCACAAGTGTGCAGGCCGCCCATCCGACCCCGACACACGCCAGAGTAGACACGTGCGCGTGCCAACAACACATGTGTTGGTATTTAAAAAGGCCGCTGATTGGTCGTTTGCAATCGGTTTAGTGAATAATGGTTCACAATGCAGGTGCAATGGATGGTTTCCGGGAATAGAAAAAATTGGTTCTGGGAGAAAAATTAACGAAGCCACGTCTGCGGGGGCTGTTCACCCTGGAAGCGACCTCGTTGAATCTGAGCTCGCTGATTAAGTACTCGTTGAATCTGGGTTACTTTTATTGATTTTAAAGAAGAAAAAAAACCCGTGCTCGTTAAATCCAAGTTCCACTGTACTTTTTCCTCGTTAAACTTACATGTCATCGTCATCTCCTCTTGCCTTTCCTTTTTTCTTCTTTTTGTCTTTTTTGCTGGGGGCAGGATTGGAGCTTGGTATTTGGGATGGCTGATCTTCCATTTGTTCCAACGAAGTCTCATCATTATCCTCACTAGGGTAAATAAAGCAGAAAGAGAGAAGAAGATACAGCAAATGAGGGAAAGAGTGCAACCCACAAAGGACATGGTCACCGAAATTATTTCATGAGCATTTGAAAAAAAAAAAAGAGAAAAAACATCTTCATATGATAGTCTTTAATATATTTTACAAAGTACTTTCTTGACATGATATTATTGAAAAAAACCTTATTTCAAGTATCTGACTCAAAATTGAGTGTTTCTGTAGCATTGTTGAGCACCAACAAATCCAAGCCAGTACTAAAAGTCGTGTTCTGCACAATAACTGCAGTTGGCGATGGATCAGATTCATCTGAGCACAACACACATAAAGATGGAAAGAATACAGATCAGCAGTACATGGATTGAAACTTAGATAGTGAAACATTTTTTAAGTCTTTACAATAGTAATAACAATTATCACAGAAGAAGAAGTACATTCAAGAAATAATCAAATTTTAAAAGTACTTTCAATAGAATCTCTTTTTAAACCTTTTCGATTTTGCACAAAATTAAGAACAAGCATTGCAGCCAGAACCCCTACCTTGTTTTGTTATTTTGGGATTCATCAATAATCCAATTTTTAAAATTTTACCTCTGCAAAAAGTCAAAAGATCCAAGTCTGTTTTCAAATCTGCACACAATTCACAAATATTACATAAATTTTTTAACAAAAAAAGGCTCTAGAAGCTACTTTATTAGTACACTGCCAGACCATTCACTGTTATTGTCAAGACCTCACAAAGTCAAAACACCTTTAAAACGAACAAAGTTTATATATAGATAGACTGATTGATATAATTGTCAATTTTACATGCAGTCTCAACTGTAGAATTTACACAGCATTACATCATTAAACTGTGAAAGAGAGGTCTATTATTGGTAGTCTGACTAATTCTATTGAAGGCTACAGGACAGGAAATTGACTTTTCTGACTCATATCCACAGCAAGTTACACTGCAGGACTGTGTTTGTGTGTGTGTGTGTGTGTGTGTGTGTGTGTGTGTGTGTGTGTGTGTGTGTGTGTGTGTGTGTGACGTGTGTGTGTGTGACGTGTGTGTGTGTGTGTGTGGTGAGTGTGAGTGTGATGTATGTTGAGTGTGTGATGCTTTTATTTTCTGCTTTTTTTTTTTTTCTGCTTTTTTTTATATAGATCTAAGACCAGTGAACTCATCACACGGTGAAGTCGACACAGCAGAAAAACCGTAAACGTATGGCGAGTTCACCATGAAAAACATATATCGAAATAACAGTGAACTCATCACACCACCTCCCCGTGTAAACACCGGTCGGCAACGTTCGGCGATCTAACTCTAACCCAACCCCTACCACTAACTCTACCCTTAAAAATGAGCAAACTACCATAATTTTGTCATGACAAGGTCGGATGTAATCTCCGACTCCGAACAGCATCAAGTGATTAATTGGAGTCGACTTGCCAAATGATTAGCAAGGAGTCGACTCCTAATATTAAAGTCAAATGACTCCCAATAATCAGTTCAAACCTCTAAACTAAACCATCTATTCTAGACTTTCTGTTTCATGATAGTGGTCGCCTATTCCGGAATTCCTCCCAATTTTATTGTAGGTTACAGGTACAGGATAGGAAGCTGATTTTCCTGACTCATTAAATTAGGTCCCTACCATAAATTTCAACAGTGTAGATCTAGAGCCAGTGAAGTGTGCAGGCCTAGAATCTAGATCATATCTATAAATTTATTAGGTCCCTGTATTTTGGGTCTTTTTTGTTCGAGTGTGTGTCTAATACTTTTCTGGGATTTTTTTTTCTTTTTCTTTTGTTTTGCTATAGAGGGACTTTAGACTTTAGGCTTTGACATGATAGATTGCTAAGACTGTAAGGCCTATATCTTTATAAAGCTTATAGCCTATTGGCTAGATTCCATTTATATTCTAGATCTAGTTACACATTCCTTTTGATTTCTTGATATCCCTTCAACGATTTTTTTTTCCACATTTTCAATCACAGGCACAATGAACAATGGCAACAGAGAATTGAGAGAAGGAAGTGGCTATTCTCACCCGGGGTGAGAATAGAGGTGGCCTTGAGAGAAAGGTACGTCTATCTCTATGTCACAATCTACAGAAATCTCCTTCAGTCTTCAGTCAGTCATGCAATGTTTAAGAATGATGAATGTTCAATCAAGTAAAATAGTGCTATCTCACTCTTCTAAATATATTGCACCACTGGGCCGAGAATAGAATAGAAACTGCCATCTAGATCTAGATCTAGATCTAGATTCTAGATCTAGAGAACTTTAATTTAGAGGCCATCATCATTGGTCTCATTGGAGGAGCCTTGTTGTTGTTGCTCACACAGGTCTCACTAGATTTTCTAGATAGATCTATATGTGTACTTACGAGTTCAAGTTACAACAACTAAAACTAGGCTACAAGATCTAATCTAGATTCTAGATCTAGAGATTCTAGTACCATCCTGAAAGTTAAAGTGGAGCGCCTACTTTACTTGTACTTCACACAACAATACTATACACACAAGAATCGAAAGTTAGCAGACCGAGATGTTGACAGATTGTTTACTCATTTTCGATCATTTAGCTCCACTTACAAATCTTCGTCACGAGCTTTATTGCCTTTCTTGGGTTTACCCATCTTGAATAAAACAGGTGAAGTTTAAAAGTGAGTTATGTGGTTAACTTTCGCTTTTACGTCGCGTGGGGGTAAAGAAACAGCGGTCAATATTGTGTATTTCGTACTGTTGCAAGGGAGACTGATTGAGGTTTGCGCATGTAGGATATGTTTCCGGTTTCTATGAATTCTGGGGGTGTGAAAGTGTTCTTACGCATGTAAGAGCGGTTCCTCTCACTTAAAAAAATATACGTGAAAAGATCTGTTAAATAGATACAAAACAATAGAAATAAAATTGGTTAATGATTTATTCACAAAGAGTTACAAAAGAGAGAAATTTGGAATAGATCTTCATAATCCCTACGACGAGATTTCTGTGATTTTTTAAAGATACTTATTTCAGACCATTTAAGACCGTTACAAATTTTCTTGACGAATTTGAGGTTTAGGCATTTGGAATCTGTTTGGCCAAGCAAAGATTTAAGCGCCCATACACTAACAATAATTATTATTGACAACAATATTGATTAAATTAATAATACTGACAATATATTTTTCTCCACAAACTATTCAATACATGTACTTTCTTCGATATTTTCGGTTATTTCTTCGTCTGCCACGGATCCAGTTGTGTCCTTATGCGGGTGATACCGGTCCTGGATTATGGGGAAAAAAAGAAAGAAAAAGAAATGTTGGACTAAACGATGTAGTGTGTGTGCAAAGAATTAAACTTTCTTTTCATATCCTCCTTTGTTGCATTTTCTTAACGTTTTTTGGTACATCGTGTACTTGGAAAGCAGGGTGCTGTATATATGCGGCTTCCGTCTAAAAGAGCGGTTAGAATAATCAGCACGTCTAACTTAGTAATTTTCCAGAGCGACATCTGGGAGCTCTCTGCATACATGCGTAGACTACATTTCAATGCACTCTAATATTATTAGCATTACACCTTTTCCCGATCAGATATATAAAAATAGAGCGTCAAATGAAGCATAGCAAACTTTATTCAACATAGTGAAATCAAATTCAACACAGAAAGTTCAAACATCAAAATAAATAGCGCAAATGTAACACTCTCAAATATACTATACCAAACACTAGCGCTATCAATTGTAACAACAATAGAGAGTTCAAATTCAACATTGTCAGTTCAAATTCAACATTTGTCAGTTCAGATTCAACCCACTTATTTTTAACACAATATAGTTTTGTTGTTTTACGTGGTCTAGAGTTTTTATTTTGTTGAAAGCGTACTGGGGTGGGGGCTCTCGTGGCCTAGAGGGGTGTTGGCCTCTCATTCAAAGGTCCCGGGTTCGAATCCGGGTAGTGACCGAAAAATTTTCTTCTCTAAATTTGTCTCCTTTCACCTTTCCTGCTCTCTAGCAATGTTCTGTCATCTGCTTTCGTCTCCTGTTTCTGCCCCCACTCCCTTATCTCCCCCCCCCCTCCTCTGGGCTCCCTGATTCTTTCTACTGCTACCAAGGAGATTAAAAGTTTAGTTCTAAACTCCTTGACTGCTACTCCTTGGCTTCTAATTCTTACTGCTGTCTTTCTGCCACACCCCTGATCTTCTGGTAGGAAAGATCTACACCTAGCCTTTCTCGGACAAGGGCGAAAAATCTCGGAGGGCCCGTGTGCAAGTTGCGCACGTTCCCAATTGGTGGTCTAAAATCGCTAAGAGCTAGGCTTCGGCCGCCACCTGGGCAAACTTCAAAATTTCCAACCAACTGAAAAAGTTTAATGTGTCCCGCCCGCTCATATGACCATATGCAGTTACGAGCGCCGTAAAACACTTACAAAAACAAAAACAAAAGCATAATCTGGGTGGTTTTTGACTATCGAAACCAGCTCATCTTCTGTTTCCACGGTTATTTTCCTAAATCTATTTTCAACAACTTAATGGTCACTTTTAAAATTTCGATTGCTTGGCGCACGGGCCTACTTAAGCAGTATATTAGTTGATTTGCAACTATTTAGCGAGCTTTATAGTAGGCCTAATCGTCACCTCACAGAAAGGCTTCTCGTATATATAGCCTACCGGTATTGTCTATTATTATCCTCGAGACTGACTCTTTGTATTATTTGTTTTTTGATATGTTGCTGTGACTCCTGGTAAGATCTGTTACAACGGTTGAAGTGTTGGATCTAACAAATTTAAAACGAGATGATGGCGACGATTAAATCTAGATCTAGATCTAGATATCTAGCTCAGCTGATAGGGAGTAGAGACGCGAAGAGTAAAAATATTGACCAGGCTACAAAACAACGTTGATAAGTTCACTTTTAAAAAATCTTCAGTGAGTCTAGAGCCGTACATTGTTTGACAAGATGTCCAAAAGCAGACTTACTTAAAACAGCAATAGATTGAGCTTAAGTTTAAATGCTGTATGGTCTAGTACTTTAGTTTACTTTACTTCTTAAAACAAAAATAAACAAAAATAAACCAAAATACAAAACACTATACTTATATATTTAGTATAATTCCCCCCCCAAAAGTGAATACAAGTAATGAAAAATACAGTTTCCTGTACAAATGTCACAAGATAAAGTTTAACTCGGTTTTTTAAAATACAAGTACATGTATTCATCATTTGTTTGACTATTTTTTTTTTATCAAGAGCTTCATTGCCTTAAAATTCCCACCCATAAAAACTCCTAATTTTTTAAAATGTCTAATCTTGATTTAATATAATGCTAAACTCTTAAATTGAGAGGTAGGGAACTCAGAATTGGGATTCGGAGGGGGAGATCAAGAGAATCGGGGTGGTTGGGATGTTTCCATGACACCAAGAAGCTTAAAACAAACTGTTAACCTCCTTGCATGACACCCTTATCTTTTCATGATTCATACTTCTTCTTAAAAGTTCTATATAATAGACGCTTTGATTCAGTCAGTATTTAACCTCCGAACTTCTTCAGACAGCTTGCCAAAAAGAACATGGCGGACCCCGCTGTCGGATGTGGCCATCGCGCAGCAAGGAGAGAGATGGGCGTACTGTATTTAGTGCCTAGTAGTAGGCCAGGGCAAGATCGACGACAAAAAGACTCGAGGCCTCGATCCCAAAACTGAAAAAAGATCGAGGAATCGAGTCCGATTTTCGATTTTGGAAGCTGCTTCAAATGGGCTGTTTAGAGGCCATGACTTGAACACTGCTTAAAATAGCTCTTAAGATCGAGACCTCGAGTCTTGAACACTGCTAAAAATAGCTCTTAAGATCGAGACCTCGAGTCTTGAACACTGCTAAAATTAGCTCTTAAGATCGAGACCTCGATTCTCGAGTTTGACAGAAGTGGCTGGCTAAGCCTGCGCGCGTGCTAAGACAAGTCGGCTTTCACGCATCTGTGTGTGTGTGTGTGTGTGTGTGTGTGTGTGTGTGTGTGTGTGTGTGTGTTGCCTCCCTTCTATCACTCTTGCCAATGCGTGGGGCACTGGTTCCTTCTCTCTTGCACCCTTTGCTTCCTGATACGCCAAAGCATGCTTTGATGACAAATGTTTTGTTATTGTCGACGTTGTGTTATTGTATGCCAAAATATTATTACAAATCATACAAACAAGAGTACTGTGTTTTCCAGCTTATAAAAAAAAAGTCCGAAGCTAAAGATCGACGTCCAGACATGATGACTCATTGATACCAACTCAAAACACACAATATGATTTACAAAAGAATACGTGTACAATGAAGATGAAAGTGCAGGGAAGTTCAAAAGCAAGCGTTTAATGTTCAAGACAAAAGAAAGAGAAAAGGGAAGTGAATGATTTAATTTGGGATGGGCGGGGGTGGGGCAATAACATTCAAAGTAGCAGTAGCTTATGTGCAGCGTGGTTTCGTACTGGGCTACACGGTAGACACGACAAGTAGGCCTAGGCCTAGTTTAGCATTCATTCATAGCGGGGACGAGGAAGAGGAAGGTGGGGTGGGGTGGGGGGTTGCGTGAAACAATTGATATAATGACTGACTGGCAGTTTCTTGCCCCTACTTCACTAGGCCTACGAAAGTTCGTCCCGGGACAGACCCGTCTGACGTTTGAAACCTTTGAACTAGAGTGTAATGTACCGCACCTATTATTGGGACGTGACATTTTTGTTGCATTGAGTCCCGAGCAGTTGTGAATTGCTACAACATCGGTGGGACAGTATGACCTAATACTGTTTTCTCTTTCTCTTTTTTCTAATACAAAGCAACAGAGCACAGGCACATGCAACCTCGATTCATCCACCTTGAAGACACAGTCTTGAATCTACATGTATCAAGGCCTAGTGCACGCCAAATTCAAATAGTGAAAAAAAAACAAAAAACATAAGTAAACAAAACTCACAAAAATTAATTTAACTTGGTAATCGGGCTTTAAATTGGGATCCCCGCGTAATTTTTGCTAATTTTGGGTCGCTGATCACGAAAATCTTATTATTTCTTAAATTAGATCAATATTTAAGACATTTTTGGAATGCATTTTTAACTCCGCCTAGGCCGACATCAAAGATGCCGCCTTATGCGCCGGATCAGTCCTGTCCTGGTGAGGTGTCTGTTTTGAAGCGAAAAACTCGACAGGACTGTAATAGTGAGGTAGAGATCTAGATTCTTGCCTCGATTCTAGGAGTCTAGGCCAGTGGCGGTGGGTAGTGAAGGGCTCACGGGCTTGAGCCCCTCTCCCCCCCCCCCCCACCCCCAACTCTACCCCAAAGCAAATAAAAATAACGAAATAAACAGTTGAAACCGTTATGATCGCACGGAATTAAACTCAGAGTGATCAACTTGCTAGTTTATCCAATCACTGTTGTCCCCGCTTACAACTATGGTAACCTAACAGCCAATCAAATGTCTTTAGGGCTCAGCAAAGATGAGCCGGTTCCCACGGCCCTCGTTAATGAAACTCTTCTTGTAAAAAGGTAGACGACTTGAAAAAAGTAACACTGCACAGAGGGCTCACGCTGTCCTAGCCCTGACAATGGGGTGAAAGTTTACGACACACTTTCCCCCAGTGACACAGTTACCTACGCTCCCATTGGACCTTTGTTAGGTGCTGTCTACTTTCCTCGACTACACGGCTTGATCCAGCTCGTGGAGTGCTGTGTGTACATGCTTGTGTGTGTGCCGCTGAGATTTAACAGTTATTGATTACATCAAAACACCTTTGAGGCAACTTTTTCATCAGATGAAAATTAATTAGAGAAGTTTGGAGGTGAAGCGGTTTCGTCCCCAGCATCCAGAAGAATTTAACATAGAACAATTAAAGAGAAGGAAGACAAAGGTGACTCTTCTCATTCGAATGGTTCTCAAAATGCCGTGGCTCGCCGTGAGTATGAAAAAACCACAACTGTAGTGTTCTTATTGCTTGCTATTTGGTGGTAAAGAAGTGAAAGCAACCTAAGCCCCACCTAAATTTTGGTCCACCCACCGCCACTGGTCTAGGCTAGGAACCAGGCTAAAAAAAGGAGACGGGAGGCATCGATCCTGGGCGGACTCAAAGCTTAGAGTCTGGAAACAAGATCGATTCTTTGAGTCCTCATTTGGACTCGAAAGAATCGATCCCAGAGTCGATCTTGCCCTGGCCTACCTAGTAGACTAAAGGCCCCTTTAGACGTACAGTTCGCTGATCGACGAACTGACAGTTTAACCGACGGACGCTCGATCTGTGTCATCGGTAAACTGAAAGTTTGTCGACGAGAGAAGTTCCGTTTAGACGTACAGTTTTTTATCCGTC